TTTAATTAATTTTTATTTTATTCATTACAAACACAGGCTTGGAAGCCTAATAACACAAGGCAAAAACAAGGTAAACACAATGTAAAAATAAATAGTCACTAAGTAAATACAAGAAAACAAATATAAGCAAATATAAAGAGAAATACAAATATTAAAAAATATATCTATAGGTACTTACCTCAAGGGTAGTAAAAAAGTAACATTTACATCAAAATGTACTTGGTGAAGCACATGCTTAAACATTATTATTATATTTTTTATTTAAGCAGAAATTTTAAAATATTTTCACACAAAAGATATAAAACTCTTTTTTTTTTAAATAATTTTTTCTCTTGTTTCTATTTGAACAGATATATATGATAATTTGAATATTTATCTGTACCATGATCATATCAGATCATTGTGAGATTTCACTGAAGATGGCAAAATGCAGAAACGCTTCTGTCAGACCAACTCAGAGAAAATCTCGCCAACTAAAAAAAGCTTTTAGCTGACTAAAATGATGAATAATGACCAAATTTCATATTTGATCATGCTGGTTTTGTCTGTCACACGTTTTGGTATTTCACTATCAACATACCAACCACTTATCATCTTAAAGTGATGAATCTACAATAAATACCATTTTTCTTTAATTTTATTTACAATATGATTGTTTCTTTCTTTTTATAGATTAATTCTTCCTTTCTCTTTTTATGAACTGTATTATAAACATTATTAAACAGTATTAAAGTAAATTCTTTCTTTTATTAAACAATTTTCTCATTTTTATACTTGTTCAATCAGAATATTAGAGATGGTGTTAATACTGATTATAGGACTGTGAGACAAAACCAGCATAAATAAGATGATCGGAGAGGATCAAGCTGCAGGTTCACCGTGCAGACCTCAACACGTTCCTGTTTGAATTATTATTATTATATTGTTGCTTCAATAGTGTCAACAGCTACAACTATGTGCCGGAAGTCTGACAACATTACATCACTTGCTCATTATTCAAAGAAAATTCCAATGCCAAGCTAAGAATCCAAACAAATCGAAGAATCGCCTTACTAATTATCTTCACTAGAGTAAAACCAAAGTCTAATTTTAAAAATGCAATGCTTAACAGTTTTTTTCTTTTAAACGTTAGAGGCTATAGGCTATATATTTAACACATTATATTAGGAACTAAGAAATTATAGTGTATGCTACATGATCGTCCCTGATAATCTTGATCCCTTATTCTTGAATCCGATTCAGTGGTTGGTAAGCAGATAGTTGAAATGCTAAAATATGACTAACAAGCCAAATTTAGTAATTTTCTGACCATTTCACACAAGAATTTATGGCAGTGGTATTACATTGACAGGAAGCTATTTTTGTTAGATGGAGGTAAGGTAAAAAGTAATTAGACAAGAAATGAAAAGATGATGCGCCAAGATTCTTCTTCACAAATATTGGCTTAGAACAAACAAATGAATTTTGGAAAGAATAAAACAATGTTTAAATGATAAATATTGGTAATTGACCTAAGATTTGATGAGATACATTTAAATTCATTTTTTATATAAAATTTAATGCCCTGGAAACAGTAGAAATGTAAATGAAATATTTTGTTGAAATATTCATTTGAAAAAAGTTTATTTTTTACTGAAATTTTTAGAACTTTTTTCTTAACTTAAAAAAAACAAAAAAAAACAGGATGTATAAAGGCAGCAAAAACTTTCTTTTGTTCTGTTCTAGTACTTCAATTTGTTCAATTTCAATTATTTAAATAAATCATTGAATAAATGAGCAAAAATAAAATAAATTTTGAGGTTCAATTTGTTTGCTTTTTATTTCGAGAAGTGGGTGTAGGTAAATTTCGGTCAGCAAAACGCTTACAGGAGCCATTATTTACTGTGCAGTTGCCCGAAGCTTTCAAAGCCGGCTATTTGCATTGTTTTTGAAAAAGCTAATCTGTTAAAGGATTTTTTAAAATCAAAACGGCAATTATTGTTTGTTTGTTTAAAATAATATAGAAGTAATTTCATTGTCAATAAATAAATTTTTAACATTTTTGGAACAATAATGTATACATTTTCGTATTATTCTTTTATTTTTTTGTAGAAAATCGATTTTCAGGAACACTTCTTCATCTACCCCTAAAAAAGCAAATTAAAATAATTTAAAAATGTAATTATTTAATTTTCATCTGATCCAAGACATTAGATTATAATTATAATTAATTAAAATAATTAATATGGTGAATTATCACTACTAACTACTTATATGGAATAGTAAAAATATAATGTTCAACCATTGTTATTATTACCTTGACATTTTTCCTATTATCTATATTTTTCTTGCAGGCTTAGAGCCTGCAAAAATATATTTTCCATAAAAATAAAATAATAAGGAAACTATTATATTATTGTTTTTAAAAATATAAAATTTTTCTTGCACGTTTTATTCTTGATTTTGATAGTTATTCACTGTTTTAAAAAATATCAGAAATGGGTATGTCTAGTAGAATGGTACAGGTATTAAGAAGTTTATATATGGAACAATGACAGTTTGGTGTCAGCAAAGTTTTGAAACCTCTATGGGGTAAAACAAGGTTGCCTGCTAGGTCCCCTATTATTCTCTGTCTTTGTAAGCGATTTGGAAGACTATATTGATGGGGTGTGCAGATTAATTGATATGATTAATATCAGCCTGAATATTATAATATTACATATAAAAAAGATGAGGGATAAGGCAAATTTGGAAGAAAGAAAACACTATGTTCTTTCATCAAGCATTTGAGGAATATATTACTTTCATGAGGATTTTGAAAGTATTTCTAAGTATTTAAAGATATCAATATCTACTTACAATATTGGTCATTATGTTTTCAACCATTATAAATTTATGAGTTTAGTTTTGAAGAGAAAAGAGAAGAATAAAAGAAAAAGAAAAGAAGAGAAACATAAAAAAATATAAAAAGACCACCAAGGATTTTTTGATTATTTCAAATACTTTTCATCTATTATTGTTCCAAATAAACAAAACCTGTTAAAAATATAATAATAACACAAAAAAAGGAGAAATTTTGTAAATTAAAAAAAAAAAATTCATTAAAAAGTTCAACTCATATTTGCCAGACACTAGTAGATCTGTATTTAAACCCTTGAATAGCCCAAGAAATTTTTATTTGAGAATTACATGGAAAAAAAATTTGTAAAGGGGTTCTGACCCCTCGGCAGCGACACCCAATGAGTAGTTGAATGTTGAACCCTCCAGCATGACATTAAGGAATATATTTGATTTTGGATACCATTTTTATTTATGATTTGAACTTTATAGGCAATTCACTAGTTTTCGTGGTCCGCTTGACCAATTAATATCTTTCAATTAATTAAGGTTTTTAGTTGAGATAAAAAAGTCAGTGTCACGAGCGGGATTCGAACCCANAAGTTCTCTAGTTTTCGGGGTCCGCATGACCAATTAATATCTTTCAATTAATTAAGGTTTTTAGTTGAGATAAAAAAGTCAGTGTCACGAGCGGGATTCGAACCCATGACCTTCGGCTAGATACGCCACTACTCTACCACTTGAGCTATCATGACTTCAATCCACTCAGACACCAACTTCCCATCTCAAATTCAAAGATGGGGTTGAGATGGGAAGTTGGTGTCCTAGTGGATCGAAGTCACAATAGCTCAAGTGGTAGAGAGCGTATCTAGCCGAAGGTCGAATACTGCTCGTGACACTGACTTTTTTAATCTCAACTAAAAACCTTAATAATTTGTAAGCAAAGCTCAATATAAAAGTGTTTATTGACAAAGTTACATTTTGATTACTGATTTATATAAGCACATATCTGCACACACATCCCTGTACGCACAATCTGTCCAATCTAACTTTTGTAATTTACACACCATGCAATCAGGGTGGAGTAGTGCTTGATATCCCTACATCACTCTTTACACCTATTCTACACCTAACCTAATTGAAGGTGATTCTCTCAATATTATGCCTCTCACACTTACATTCACGCAGCAATAAATGCAAGCACAATTCTCACATTGGGTGGCATTCTTGCGCCCTTTATATATGGAGCCAAGTTAAATTCTAGATTATCCGAATTAGTTTAATTTGTACCACAAAATGACTTGGTTATTATTTTTGAAAGTGTATTAATTAAAAAGAATGAAAACCTAGATGAAAATATTATATCTGTGAGAAAAATCAACTGCACTATTAGAGTCATACCTTTCAAAAATGCTTTTGATTTTAAATTTTGATTATAAATTTAATTTTAAAATTTAAATATTGTACATTATTTAATCTTAAAGTTTTAAAGAGCATACCTGAAATAAAAGTAAACTTTTAGAAAGAATTTTTAGAGAGGTTGGACTTAATTTACATCAGAAAGTCAATTTCATCTCTGGTACTATTTTTTAAGTATATATTTTTTAAATGAAGTGTGTACGCAAATTATATTATGGTATTACATTGGTACATACATTTGTAAATATTTTTCACAATATTTAAGGCCGTTCAGTATTCCTATGTGAGTAATTTTTCAATTTTAATTTACTCTGTTAATGTTTATCAGTCATAAAATGATGAATGATATTTAAATTATTATGAGACTATATTACAAATTAATTAGAAATATAAATATAACATGAAATGAAATTCTCAGTAATTGTTTGATTCTTAATTTAAAAAAAAAAGTTTTTTTTACCAAGATATTGATTCTGCTGAAAGCTTTGAAGCATACTACTACGCCGTTGAGGAGTTACAAACCTCCAAGAGGGGCAATAGAATAAATAAATTGTCCCAGTTGAAACAGATTTTGATTTGAACCAAAGAGAGTCAATCAAAAGATATCAGTTTGGTGACACAGTGGACAGAGTGGGTCGAAGGGTTTTGCCCCCTGGGGATTGACAGGCCAGTCCAAAGGGAGGAAGTGTTTTATTTTTTCACAAGGTGATCTCCCCTTATGTCCACATACACATGGTATATAAACATGCGAGACCACCGTGCCAACAGGCAGAGCTAGAATGGACAGGTAGGAGGACACACCTATGTTCCGCATATCTTTTTTTAAAATCAAATTGATTTATTTTCTTTTAATAATTTTTTTTTGCTTTTTTACAGTAAACAAGCAATCATGAGTTTAGCCATTGCAACCATTGCAACATTTCTAGTACTGAACAGCCACCTAGGACAAGCACAAGTATATTAATTTTTGCTTTTTTTATTAGACTATTAACAAACATTTTATTTATAATATTATTTTTTTTACATAACTGGTAAAATAATAAAGATCTAGTACTCTAAGTAGATTTATTCAACAAATATTTATTGTTTAGATTAATTTTATCGAAATCTATGAGGCGATGAACAAAGATTTATGACCAAGATGATCAGATCAGCTTGAAAAACACAATGAAAGAAATTTTATCTAGGGCTTATTGTAAATTAAAAAATACCCACAGAGAGATCACTAAAAAGACGCAAGCTTTTAAACCTTAAAATTTATTTTCAATAAAATTTTTTTTAAATCATTGCTAATGATTTAAAAAAAACCAAGTTATTTGAAAAGACTTTGTAATATATAAAAATTTAGAGTAAACTCCCATACAGACTATTTTTTTTCTTTCTGTGAATAAATATTTTTGTTATTAATGACACAGCATGATCTTGTGTGCTGTGAAACTCATTGATTACTTCTACATCGATAATTAATATGTTTAGCTGTATATATACAAACTGTTTTAATGATGTAGTTTTTTAAAAGTTAATTTCTTAGTAATAGATAAAGAGAGCTTATTCAATTTGTTCAAGCATCCATGAAAACTATAACATGCTTTACTGGGATTTTATCATCATTTTTATTAAAATAATTATGACTCAGTAATCTTATTAGTTAGTCAAAGATCGATAAATCAAAGTGTAAATTTCCTGTTTTATAGTAAATTTATAAACCAATTAAATTAGTGCAGCTTGGTTTACCTCAATTTAAAATTAATTTTATTGTTTAAACGTAATTAATGAAAACGATCAAACCAGGATAATTGAAGATGATGAAACTGTAACTAAATTTAATTAAAATTGCTATAATAGTTGATAGAAAAAACAGAAGTCTTATTAAATTTGTACATTTTTTATATTTTTTTGAGACGAGGACAACACACAAGATGTTTCATTCCACAGCACAACGGTTAACCTTCCATCGCTTACATGTAGAATTAAATATATTGTAGATTAATAAATACAAATACAGTAGAACTGGCAATCTTTTTGTAAACAGTACATCTCAAATATCTCAAATTCAAACTAGACTGCTTAAAAATTTGTCTAGCAGGTTATTTTTTGTATAGTAAGATATTTAATTATAAATCAGCTAAGGAACTTATTGAGGTCTAAGTCCAAGTCACATTCTTTAAAAAAAGTTTTTTGTAGACTTTTTTATTTTTTTGTTTTGATCAAGGTCTCGAAGCTGTATGGTTTTGCAATCACCAAACGTCAATAAAAACATAACACATTTTATTATGAATTTATACTTATTACTGATTTATGTAAGCTCAAATGTACATGCATACACGCTTGTACAGAGGTGAGCCTTTATTCTCTCAGTCAACCATATCTATTCGTATCCAGCTTTTGTGGCTTACAATAAATCAAAAGCATGCGTCAAGAATCACTCACCTGTGTGCTGGCTGTCTGGGATCAGACGTCGGTCTTATTCATCCAGCTGTTGAGGTTGGGGTCCAGGGGCTACCAACAGCTAGGTCATTTCAGCCCACAACGCAATCAGTTCCTAAAACCAAACGCATTTATTCTCTCACACACTCTTTTATATTCTTTCTTTTTTACATACAAATTCACTCAGTTAAGTCATTGGATGCCATTGGCCCTCTCACTCTACACATACTCACTAATAAATACGCTTACTCTCAACACGCCCTAGGGTACACAGCAATATAACAGCACTATATGCAGTAAAACAACCCTGCTGCTGTTCAAGGTTAAAACAGAGGACTCAGGTACTTGCTGTCGTACTCAAGAACAATTTTCATATTGGGTGGCATTTCTAAATGCTTTTTATATGGAATAATGGCACCCTTCAATTAAGTTGAACACATTGACCTTTCTATACATTCCGGATAAATACGGGGGTTTTGGCTCAAAAGTAAGTTTCCATCTGTCATCCTCACATGACCTGTCTTTAATTAGGTGCAGATGACCCTTCTTCTACTAGTCAGATCTTCTGAGTGCCACTTATTGACATTTGACATTTTCTCGGCCAATTTGGCCCACTGACGCTGCCACTTCCATATAATCATGTTTTTAATGCAGTGCCAGAGGGCGGATCATGGCAATGTTTGGCCTTAACTTATGATTTTATCAATAGTTGTTACAACAGGATAATCTTGTTAGGCAATAAAATATCACTAACTAATTAGTCTTTTTAGAAGTAAATAAGACAGATCAATTAAATGTCTGTAGTTTTATTGCATTTAATTGAAATTTTTTATCATTTTTGTTTTGCTAGGCAGAGGAGTCAAACTATTTACAAACATTACTAATTTTTACAAATAACCATGAATACCACAATTAAAAAATATATATTGTTTTTACTGAAATTGTTATAACCCAGAATTTTGTTAGGTAGTAAAACATCCATTGAAAGTTATTCTATTATCAGTTTATAAAAATAAATCAATGTAGAGCTGTTTTTTTATTTTATGGTATAATTTATAACATCTTCGATGAAATGTACATTACAACTTTTTGGGTTGCAGAGCAGACCTGAAAGTTTAAATACAATGAAACCATATTTTGTTAAAACAAATAATACTACACCAATGGAAGGATGGTTAGGGATGGTGGAAGAATGAATTTATGCAATTTGATATAGACTTTAAAATATTGTTAAAAATCTTTCATAAACTATTTGGCTTTTAACTTGTCCATTCGTTCTAGGCATTTTGAAAGGTGTACTTGGGGGCAACAGTTGTCGCAATGGTTTAGGCATTGACACAGTGCTCATGACTGTAAGGTAAAGGTGCTGGGTTCGAATCCAGCAGCACTCCATTCGAATGGGCTTTTTTTCCCCCAAAACACTGGCACCCCTGTGCTGTTGCGAATCCTCATACAATTAAAAAAAGTACCGAATAGCTCTTAAATCCAATAAATTTCTGCTCTACAAGGATCATTCAAATACATTTTTTGACTGAACCAATAATAATCTAAAGTTATTTATTAATAATTTATTTTATGTCTTCAAACTTTATATACCTTAACCCCTCTGAGAGATGATTTTGTTAGGCGTTGCTCATTGCTCAACTCAACAGGAAACCCTTTTATTTTTTTTAATCTGAGTGTCCCATTCTTTAGTTTCAGGGTCTCTTTTTTTGGGAACAGCGAGAGTTTGCAGGTAGTCATTGATTGCAAAACTTAATTTTTCTAATTGTGGCGTGACGGATGCCTGGCCGGCAAAGCAAAAAAAAAAATCGCTTAATTGCTCAGACATTTTGCTACTGGAGTATCTCAGAGAGCTGTAGTGTAATTTTTAATTTTAAACTGAGAAGCAATAATAGTTTTTTTTACATATTAATTTTTAATGTAATATCTTCAATTGAAGTGAATTTCCTCCCAGCCACCATCTCCAATTTTATATCAATACTAATAATAATAACTGTATTTTTTGTGTGTTATGTTGCATTATGCAAAATGCATTCTAGTTTTATAAATAAAGTTTTTTTTTCATTCATTCAAAATATTGCTAATTATGACTTACAAAAGAAAAATCCATATTTCGTAAACACTCTATTTTTTATAATTGTCATAACTAAAGAACCGCACATGCAAAATATTTAAAAGTTTTCAAGATTTAGTGTGTGAAAAGAACAAAAAAACAACAACAAAAAATATATGCCATATTTGTGATCATTGTTTATAGAAAATTGATAAACAGTTTAATATTTCTTTAAAAATTTTCAAACTTTTTATTTTAGTTAAAATTTGTTTTAAACAAATCAAATTTTAATTATATGTGTTGTTTTCCAGGTGACATTTTCCAGAGATTGGAGTGCGGGAAAGCGCGGAGTGCCAGAATGCGCCGTCCCTTTCAAATCGGCGGCAGCAATCGGTCAAATGTTATTGGTCAGTCAAATTGAAAATTTTTATTTTGAAATTTTTGACACTTAAAAAAACGTTACGCGGGTATGTACGGCTATTAAGCTGTAAACGCCAGTTGTCAGGATGGCCGAGCGGTCTAAGGCGCCAGACTCAAGGTAACCCCTTGCCTGTAAAACGCAGGCTTGAGCGTTCTGGTCCTCTCTGAGGGCGTGGGTTCGAATCCCACTTCTGACACATTAATTTTTTTTACCCGTCGTCGAATTTTTGACCAAATTTTTAAAAAATTTTGTCTAAATTTTTATTAAATCAATATTTTTCCCAGTAAGAGTCGCGAAAAAAGGTTCAAATTTACAATCTCACTTTTACAGAAAGTAAAGACTTTTTCTTTGGATAAAGGAAAAATATATTTTCTTTGAATTATTAACAACGAATTTTACAGTATTATGATATATATCTAAACATATTTCTTATTCTAAATATAGAAGGTTTTTTAATAATTTGTTTAATAATTTTAAATATTTTAAAATTTAGGGTGTTAAAAAAAACCTCGTGCAAACTGTATTTTGCTTGTATCAATTTTTACAAAAATATTTTCTACAGGAAACATTTTTCGTTATTTTATTATAATTTTTTTGCAGAAAGGAAACATTTTCTTCAGATTATTACCAACAAGTTTTACAATATTATGACAAATATCTAAAAGTTCACCTTATTCTAAAATTTAGGATTATTAACGATTTAAAAAACACATATAGACCATATTTGGTCTTTTAAAATGATTCTACAGGAAGAATTTTTTGTTATTTTAATTATCCACTTTTTTTATGAAATAAATTAATTTTTTTCTAGGGTTTATCGTAAATTTCAATTTAATAATTCAAATTTATGATCTTACATAAGAAAAAGAGAAAGACATATTTTTTCTTTTGCATAAAAGAAGTATTTTCTTTGAGTTATCACCATCAATTTTTACAATATTATGATATATGTCTAAAAATATATCTTATTCTGAGTATAGAAGCAATATTTTAAAATATAGGATGTATAAAAAAACCTCAAACAAATTGTATTTTGTTTTTATCAGTTTTTAAAAACATTTTTCTTCAAGAAAGATTTTTTTGTTATTTTATTATTTATTCAGTTTGTACTAATTTTTTTTTGTGCAAAAAGGTAGTATATTCTTCGGGTTATTACCATTGATTTTTACAATATTATGACAAATATCTAAAAGTACACCTTATTCTAAAATTTAGGGCTTTAACAATTTAAAAAACAAACAAACAGTATTTGGTCTTTTACAACTTTTTAAAATGATTCTATAGGAAGAATTTTTCGTTATTTTAATTACCCACTTTTTTTTATGAAAGAAATTAATTTTTTCTAGGGTTTATCGTAAATTTAAATTTAATAATTCAAATTTATGATCTTACATAAGAAAAAGAGAAAGACATATTTTTTCTTTTGCATAAAAGAAGTATTTTCTTTTAGTTATTACCATCAATTTTTACAATATTATGATATATGTCTAAAAACATATCTTATTCTGAGTATAGAAGCAATATTTTAAAATTTAGGATGTATAAAAAACCTTGTACAAATTGTATTTTGTTTTTATCAGTTTTTAAAAACATTTTTCTTCAAGAAAGACTTTTTTATTTTATTATTTATTTAGTTTGTATTATTTTTTTGCAAACTATTTTGTTTTTATCAATTTTTACAAAAATATTTTCTACAGAAAACATTTTTCGTTATTTTATTATAATTTTTTTTGCAGAAAGGAAATATTTTCTTCAGGTTATTACCAACAAGTTTTACAATATTATGACAAATATCTAAAAATACACCTTATTCTAAAATTTAGGGCTTTAACAATTTAAAAAACACAAACAGACAGTATTTGGTCTTTTTTTAAAAATGATTCTACAGGAAGAATTTTTTGTTATTTTAGTTACCCACTTTTTTTTAATGAAAGAAATTCAATATAATAAATTCATATCATAAATTTAAATATAATAATTCTAATTTCTCATCTCCCTTAAGAAAAAGAGAAAGACGTCTTTTTTCCTTTGTAGAAGGTAGTTTCTGTGAATCATTACCAACTTGTTTTACAATATCATCACAAATATTCAAGAAAGTATCTCCTATTTTTGTTTTTCAGTATTATTTAAAAATTTAGGGTGCTTGGAAAAAAAAATGTTTTAAGACTGTATTTTGTCTTTATAAATTTTTTAGAAACATTTCCTACATGAAGCGTTTTCCGTTATTTTAGTCACATACTTTTTTTGTGGTGGAAATTAAATTTTGTCAACGGTTTATCGTAAATTTAAACATTTCTTGGGAAGAGATCTCCAAATATGTTCAAAACCTATTATTTGAAAATTTTGGGTGAACACAATTTAAAAAAAAAACCGTAGACTGTATTTTGCCTTTATAAATTTTAAGACATTTTCTACAGATACTACAAAAGACTTCATTATTTTGGTTACTCATTTCTGTTCTAAGGAAGAAATTAAATTTTGTCTTGGGTTTCATAATTTCAATTTATAATCTCACTTAAAAAGAGGGGAAAGGGCTTCTTTTTGCCTTTTACAAACATAAAAAAATCATGATATTATTTAAAGATTTAGAGTTAACAAAAAGACAAAAAAATAATAATAAATAAATATGTAAAAATAAAACAAAATAAAACATATAGACTACATGTTTTGTCTTTGTGAACTCAAAATGTATAACCAGTTAAATATTTATTTAAAAATTTTCTACAGGAAGGATTTTCTGTTATTTTTATTTATACCTGTTAATTAATATTAATTGATCATTTTCAGAGTGAACTGAGAGCGATAGCGAATTGCGAACTGAGAACGGCATACACACAGAAACTGGCACAAGACGAGGACAACACGCAAGATGTGTTCATCCCACAGCACAACGGTTAACCTTCCATCGCTTACATGTAGAATTAAATATATTGTAGATTAATAAATACAAATTTTATCTTGAGTCCGTTGTCCCTTGATGTGCCATCTATATGTGTATATCTATTTTTATTATGTATGGAGGGAAGCCATATTCCATCATCCTACTGTCTATAGCATTATGCCAAACAGTATCAACGGCCTTACAGACATCTATCAGAACCAGGCTAGTATGCTTTTGTAAGTTAAATGCTTGCGTTATGTCATTTACTATCCTGGCTAATTGGTTAGAAAAATGAGATTTGTGGTGAAGTGTAGGAACTAGGAAGATGCAGAATTGCTATGCCACTTGGTGTAGGATAAAAGAAAGTCAGGCAAATATCGACGTGGGAGAAAGGGATTATTAAACAATGTTGTGACAAGTCGTTATCTGCATGCTCTTACGTTCGCTTTCTCATATTTATTAAAGATAGATCATTGAATATGTATACATCAGGGATATCGAGGGGAATCAAACTGTAGTTTGAGTTAGTTCGAAAGGGCGGCCACAAGATCGGGTCCAAGTCCACTAATGTCCTCTCCTCTGGACCACAATCGTTTAACAATCACAAATTTATGCCCTGTTCCGTCCATGAAAATCTAATTTTCGTGTCATTTCCATGTCTCTTGTCCTCTTTTAACGTCCTGGGCCTGTGTCCTCCGGGCCGGCCCATGAGTGCGACATTAATTCCTACTTAGCCGACTCTCTTCCCAACTGGGATCTAACTGTAATGATGCGGTTTTCAATACGCAGCTTTTCCGAGACGTGCTCCGGCGTTTAGAGAGTTCATTAGGATTGACTCGGAGGATTTATTTGTAAAGACTTTTCACCCTAAGGTTTCATGCGGCCTGATGGGACCCCAGGGTACGGCCCGGATTTTATTCTCGTTTCGACATAAATGGATTTTACAACAAATACACGCATTATTCAAGCTCGGTGGTACCTATTTAAAAAAACTCTAGGTTCTTATGGTATTATAATCATTAAAACAACACAATTTATGAACATCACAAAAACGTTGACTACATATCCATTGTATTTCGTGGTCCGATTGATCAAATACCTTCTTTCAATCAATTAATCTTTTTATGTAAGGTATTGGATGAAATGAAAAAGTTAGTGTCACGAGCGGGATTCGAACCCAAGACCTTCGGCTAAATATGCCGCTGCTCTACCACTTGAGCTATCGTGACCGATCCACTTTTTCTTTTCAACCAAAACCTTACATAAAAGCCTCTTTTAAGCGCTCGTACTTCATACAATATAAATATTTTCTTTCTATTAATTAATCTTTTTATGTAAGGTTTTGGTTGAAATGAAAAAGGTTAGTGTCACGAGTGGGATTCGAACCCACGATCTTCGGCTGTGTTCGAATCTCACTCGTGACAATAACTTTTCAATTCAACCAATACCTTACATAAAAAGATTAATTAATTGACTACAAACCACAACAACAACAAAAACCAGTTTTGATTGGTTGAAAACTGACCTTATTCATTTGAGAGTCATAAAGGAAAATTGTAGATTATATTCGTGTGTGTAAAATGGAAAAACCATGCTTTATGTTTGAAAGCATCTTCCATGCTAGATCCCGAAGAGGACAGTTGACAGGTGAAACATTTCTAGCGACCAACAAGTATGAACTAAATCCAAAACCATAGTAAGTTCAGGTTTTAGATAAAAATCTCAAATGGTTTAAATTATGAGTTTGTATGGTGTTTACTGACCGTTACTTGATGATTATTTGGAGATCGTGAGATGCAGTCTGGTGTGACGTAAGTTTTAGAAAAACATTTTCTTTATCGAGCCAACGTTTCGATCTTTATTGAGATCATCTTCAGGGCTCAAAGCGTTTGTTTTCTGTGTAGATGTGTCATTCTTGTGTGTCGTGTTGAGAGTAACTAAACGTGTGGCGACAACTTAAGCCAAAATGTTAAATAATTAAAGTTTTGGATTAAAATAAGCTAGATCGTTTAAAGATTGTGAGATTTCTTCGTGAGATCTGCGGGGTGATGATCCAGTAGCTAGGTCGATTCTGATCATTTTTAGTTCGGTCTGTGTGACGGTCTAGGATGATCAGGGTTATAAGTAAGGCGAAGCAAGGTTAACCTAGCTGGCTGGCCGAAAATGTTTGGAAACAACCAAGTTCTATATGGTTTAGGACTTTTTATTCAGGCCGTTTCCTAACATATTTTGTATGACATGGCCCAGGAGGATCAGGAGTTTAAAGGACGAGAATTAATGATGATGCGAAACGCTAAAACGCGTCTGACAGGTCGAAGTTCCAAAATGATCGAAAAACGATGGCATAAGACTTTGCTGAAATTGTAATTCTTCAAAGATTCATTTGTGTAGTTTTGAGCGTTCTCGTTACTTTCTGTCTGTTGCGTTGTTGTTGAATATTTCTATATAAGATATTGGAAGTTATGTAATCTGAATAGAATACGTCCAAAGTTGCCGGGAAGAACAACCTAAATTCAGATAAGGGGGCCCAGAAACTCTGAGAGGTGTTTGCTACATTTTATTATTCAAGGAGAAACTTATAGCCCAACACAATACTAAAAAGTTCCTATCGGAAGAGTTATTGAACTTATACTTTTTTTTTCTTTTTTCCACCAACGTCTCCGCGTACTTCTTTCCTGTCTGCTCGGCCCACGTTTTGCCCAATTCGGCACACAAGGGTGGTTTCTCTATATATCAAAGTGGAAGGCCGGGGTGCAAGACAAGCCAATATTTCTATTATGAAATATTGTCTGAGAAGTCAGTATCGTTTTGTATATTTTACATTTATTGCATTTTCCTTTCCAAGTTTCACTCGCGGAATGTGATGGACCGTCTATCGCCTCTTCTTACCATATTTCATCAATAACAAACTATTTTCCAAGTTTTAATGTGCTAGATAAATAAAAATTTAACCACTAACTCCAAAGTGTAACCGCACTTTCAACAAATTCAAAAGGTAAACTTTAAGCAGCAAATCTGAAGAAAAAACGTATCTGGTAGTGACCAACGGCAAATTCAACGTAGGTACTTTACATTTTCAAGTGGTAACTCTGTCACAACAGTGTGCGTTCATTTAATTTTAAGAATCAGGTCATTGGACATTAAAAAGGTAATTACCAAAATAATATTTTAATTTGATCATTACTCTAAACAAATATTGGTATAAGCACCACGGTCTGCTTTGAACCTTTTAGTCGTTAGCATAGTATAAAGATAGATCTGATCTTAGTTAGCAACAAATTGGTGATGATGATTATAATATTGATGAAAGGAGACTAGGAAGTGTGGGTTTATGTTCCCCAGCCTTTCGGACTTAATATACTTCATAGTTTCTTGGTACTTCAATAATCAGTGCTTTAAGAACGAAGTCTGGTAACGGCATATCCGATCATGATTAATTATGAGCACATGACCACCAGTAAGCCTTACATGCCGCTCATTTACGTTTAAATACCAAGTCCTTATTAACGGTACATTTGAAATGCTAAAAAATAAATTCTATGCCCTTTAATTTTAAAAGCCAAGTCTTTACTAAGAGTCTCATTTACAAGGGTCATCATGAAAAGCAAACAATCCTTACCTGTTCCTTAATTGTAAGCATTGATATTGATTGATTAGCATAGGTGATATATATATTTAGGGTTTTGCAATATGTTTAGGAAATTATTCAGAAATCGTGAGATGCGGTCTGGTGTGATGTAGGTTTCAGAAAAACATTTGCTTTATCGTGCCAACGTTTCGATCTTTATTGAGATCATCTTCAGGGCCTGGTATTTACAAACATTGTTTACATTTAACAAATACATGTAGGATGTAGAAAAAAGTGGATTTATACAATGCAAAATATATGTTTTTTTTTCAATTATTAGTTAAATTACTGCCATGAATTGGATTATGAAGAATGGCTGAGACCATTGTAAAAAATTTCTGTTTTAGGATTTAGGAAGTCGTGTCGACTGACACCACCGAATACAATTTTTTTGATTTGCAAAATTGTTCATTGGATGAAGAAATGCCTGGATTATCAGATTAATAATCACTTAATTGTAAAAGGAGATGAAACTGGACCAACAGGACAATGAAAAACAGAATAAACAATTTTAAAGTTTAAGCCGAATCTTCCTGCATATGAAAAAAAAAGTTCAGTAAAATTCGTTACAGACATGCTTAAACCAATGTAGAATTTCAAAATGTTGAAACAGAGACTTCAAAGTTCAAAACACTCCTGCATCATTATATATGCAAGAAAATCCACCTTTTAGTAATTGTCTCATGTTAAATATAATTTGCATCAAATAAAGTTAATTGTATATTAAATTTAAACATTGTGTTTTAGCTTTGAACTAAATTATCGAATAATATGTTTATATTTTTATTTTTATTTTTACAAGGGTTCGCAACAGCAGAGGTCATATCAACCCTCAGGGTGACGTTGTTTTTGATAAAAAGCCCATTTGTATATCGGGTTCGAATGCAGAGCCGCTGGATTCGAACCCGGGACCTTTACCTAACAATGATGAGCGCCGTGCCAACGCCTAAACCGTTGCGACCACCGACGCCCCCCCCCCAAAAAAAAAACAAAAAACAAAAAACAAAAAACAAACAAACAAAGTATTTCTACTCACTCAAAGTGTTTGTCTTCTGTGTAATCGTGCCATTCTTGCGTGTCGTGTTGAGAGCAAACAAACAGCAATATTTCACTGGCACTCTCATCACGACACGCAAGAAATACTTTGATTGAATTTAAAAAATATATTTTGCATTGTATAAATTCACTTTTTTCCACATCCTACATGTATTTGTTAAATGTAAACAATGCTTGTAAATCCCAGGCCCTGAAGATGATCTCAATAAAGATCGAAACGTTGGCACGATAAAGAAAATATTTTTCGGAAACCTACATCACACCAGACCGCATCTCACGATTTCTCAATAATTATCGATTAACGGTCACTAACCACCACACAAATATGTTTAGGCAGGAACTCTAATAACACTGTAGTTGATCATGATTAGCCACAAATCCTACGTAGGGTGCTTTA